GGGTTTATTTTATGGCAGGTCATTGCTTTAATTTAAGAGCAGCGGTTGATGTAGATTAATGCAAATGTCGGTGTACGATTAAAGAATATTTTTTTTTGGAATACATAAATAAATAGGGAATAAATATGAATACGTTTTACGATATACATAATGTATAAGAATTGGTTTCGATATGGGGATCCTATTTGTGCGAATATTCTGAGTATACCGTACAGTCAAATTAAAACAAATTTGCGGACACCATGCCTGTTCAAAATATCACTCAATGAAATTGTATTCAACACAACACTGCAAGGCTTTTAAATCTGCTTTTAAACGCTACCACCAGCTGCTTTCTTATCTTGTATTAGTTCACATCACATGCACATCCAAAATGTAAGACTATGTCCCAACTGTTTATACAACAGGATGTTGTGGCTATTTTAGGTTTACAGACACAGTTTCATCAATGCATGTATATTCTTTAAACTATTAAGAGTGGCCTGCTTTAAATGTATTGACTCAAACTGATAATGTGGGCAAAATAAACCGATAAAGATGCTTAGATGTATGTTCTTCCTGTCGGTGTGACGTCTTTGGGAACATGCCCTACAATTAATAACAATGTATGGAAGATGTGTTAGCTGTGGAATAGCATGACGAATTCACAATACTCGGAGGACTGCAGTAGTGTATCAAGGGCGAACTTTGCAGGGGCACTCGATGGGTTTTCAAACAACGAATGTCTACTTTGCCTTTAGCTTTCCCCAAAGTTGAGGGGGCGTGGTAACATGAAGTGTGACGGAACAAGCCTGGGTGGCGAACCTAATTCCTTCATTATTTTTTTAAAGAGGCAAAATGCGCCCTGAAATACGCACGAACTGTAAGTTTTCGTCATCCAGCCATCGATGAGTAAACATCGTATGTGAGACAGAGCAACGTGGTTCAATCGAGAGGTTTATACTCTTGAACCGCACAACCTCAGTCCGGGACGAGAGCTTGTGAGTGCAGTGAAGCTAGCAGAGCTGAAGCTGACCTGTTCCTTCTGTAGCGGTGAAGTGCTTTGCGAGTTGCCGGCCGCCGTCTGCAGTATTACTTACCAGGGGTAAGGAAGTTATAGCGAGCATATTGCTTAGGGACTGGCAGAGTTGGGAAACATTAAATTGGAGGGGATTGAGTAGTGTTTGGGTAGAGTGGATCTCGTGTAGTGTTTAGATTAGATAAGGCTGAAAGATCAGTAGGCAGATTGGAAGATACGGTTGCCGTTTCGGTAACGTTGTGTCGAGGTTTATTCTGTGTGATCTATTGTCTTTGACCCTAGAGGTTTACCGAGAGGTCACCAACCTTATCGGTCCATAAGTTGGTTAAGGTTGGGGGGGGGGAAATAAACTAACCTGGGGTCCCCCTGTTGCAAACGTGAGCTGATTATTAAAGATTACATTTAAGAGGTTTGGTAGTGAAAATGACCCTCCACTCTATGAGGTTTACTTCCTGGAATTACTGAAAGCGGTTTACTAATTTGCATAAAGTTGTTGAAGTAACCCTCAGTCTTGGTACAAACCTCATGTAAGAGATGAGTTGTTTATTGGTGTCTTATAGCAAACCTCATTATTTGAACCTCGTATATTGTCGTACCCATACACTGATCATAAGTTTTTTTGGAGTGACTTTGTACACACCTGTGTACTCATTAACCCAAGTTCCTTCACTGACTATCCCTATTGCCGAGTATGATATATGTCTATATCTTTTATAAATAGTCGTCATGCTCATTCAAAGGCATATTCTTTGAGAGGTCGAAACCGCCTTGCTACCACGGTGTCAGATTTAACGTTTGCTATACCGTGATGTATATCTAGGTTGTGTAAACGTTAGGTTTACTCCAATCTTAACGATAACCAAGTTAACGATCATTAAATAACAATGTTATATGCTGGTTCTAGCACCCAACGTTCCTTCTTGTCATCGAGAGTAAGGAGACCTTTCCACTTTTTTCTCATTCCAATCTTGTTAACAGTCATACTTCCTTCCTCATTACATTCCTCCGTAATGACTTACTTATCCTGAATTCTCTATTTCCGTTCCTTCTTTTCTTTCTTCCTTCTCAAAACAAACCAAATTCTTCTCTTAAGTATCACATAAAAAAATCTTTTCGGTTAGGTCGTGCATTCTCGTGACGAAATCTAAAGGCACCTTTACGAACCGTTTTTGTGGTCTCCTCCGTAATTTCCTTCTAAAAAAATCCTCTATGCCAAGATGGTTAGTCTCCTCCTTATTTCCCTTCTAAAAATAACCTCCTAGTTTCCAAAACCAAAAACTTCCTCACCAAAAAGGTCTTTGAACTTTGGAAGACTAATCTGGCCTGTCTTACGATGTCAATAATTGTTAAAAAATTTCGATAAATTAGTATCCTAAATGTTATTCATTCAGGACACTCTAAGACAAACAATGTCAACAGCTGATGAAGTTGTTAATAAAAATCAGTTGAAAACAAGTATTTCCACTTGCACTGACTATCATTACATTCAGTGCACTCATCATTATCTGCGCCGAAAATCACAACACGCGCGCGTTAAACACGATACGCGCAGAGAGTGCGCGATTTTCAAAATTGATTCTGCGTCGCGTCACACTAGCTGGCAGCCCTCGTTGATGACAGACGTCTCATAGCATAGTCGTGTTCCCTAACGTGGCGCACTTCGAAGCTTACCCAACTTTCCTCGTGTAGTGTTGCCAAACCTCTTTGTTGATAAACCTCAAATTCATGCAGTGAAATACTGGTACTTTTACCTTTTTAATGTTTGCTATTTAACCTCTGTGAACAATTTCGGTTTCATAAAATTTAATCCGAAATGCAAAAACGGTGGCGTCCGGAAATTGGGCACAAATTGGCGGAGTGTTCCCTAACGTGGCGCACTTGAATAAATCTCGGAAAATTCCAAATTAACATTTAAGAATTTCTGTAAACTTGATAAATTCTGATAAATCATCATTATCTTTACTTACAAACCCAGCCAGATGTTTGTCAGAAAATTATTTTCTTATTTTTCGGGGCATTTTCAAAGGGTTCACTTTGCACTTGAAAATAAAATCGGAAAATTACGCCAAAATAAATTTTTCTTTTAACTTTGTAACGGGTAAATAAACTCGCGATTTATGAACGGGAGTGTTTAGAACTTGATGAAATTTCACTTTCTGCGAAATTTCAGTTAAAACTTTTGCTCTAGCTAGGCGCTACAGGCGAAAAATCAAAGTGCGCCACGTTAGGGGCTGCGCCACGTTAGGGTACATCAACAACACTACACACTTCACTGCCAGCCTGGGTTCACGAAGGACCGCTTCCCGCAAGATAGAACACAAGGTAACATGTAAATATCTCCTTTTAATGTTCAGTATTCTTCCTGTCTTTAACACCATGTAAAAGTTCTTCTCGGGTAGGTCGTGCAGTCTCGAGACGAAACCTACCCATGGTCTAAGCGAACTGCGCCTGACGAGTCTCGCTTCTTTTTGAAATCATGCTAAAAAGAAGACTGCTAAGAACTTTTACTTACCGGCACCTTACACTAACCCTGTTTACTGTTGAAATTATACTTTGCCGTTCGTTGTTTTAACTCGATTGCCCCGAGAACCGCCATAGGCCCTAGTTCCCATAAAAAAAACAAAAACAAATAAGTAATAAAAAAAAAATCCTCCTAGCCAAGATGGTCCGTACCCCCGTAATTCCCTTCTAAAAATATCCACCTAGCCAAGGTACTTAGTCTCCTCCATATTTCCCTTCTAAAAATATCCTCCAAGTCAAGATGGTTAGTCACCTCCATAATTCCCTTCTAAAAATATCCTCCTAGCCAAGATAGTTAGTCTACTCCGTAATTCCCTTCTAAAAATATCCTCCTTGCCAAGATGGTTAGTCACCTCCATAATTCCCTTCTAAAAAATATCCTCCTTTCTAAATACTAACAAATTCTTGTCTAATTCTTGCCGAGAAAGACAAAGACTGAATCTCAAATCGGTCGTCTTACTCAATTTGGCATGTCTTTCTTTTAACGGTTTAAATCTCTTTCATTCCGCGTCAATAGATTGTAACGTTTGGCATATCGTGAGGTAGGTCTTAGGCTGAGTAAGACCTTATGTCTACTCTTAAATAAGCAAGCGACCTGGAATCACTCACCGGTGATGATTTGTCACTTCAAGCATTATATCTTACTCCATCTGCCGTGCAAAAGCGAGCTATACCAATCGTGATTGTATGGGCCAGAAGAATTTATAAAGTTTATAAAATTATGAAACGCACCTGCACAATTTCCAAGTATCTCTTCAAAACCACTGTTCCCACTGGACTTCCTGCATGTCTTTGCAACACAGCACAAGCTGGCCAAGACCTGATTATACAAGAGGATAATTTTGCGAATTCCTTCTTCCATCCGGGTGCTGAGAACTGTTACCGGTCTGTTAATTCATTGCCGAATGGAGCAGGCCAACAGTGTTGTTACGGAAAAGACGGTAACATCATAGTAGGCCCTCCTGGAGGAGGAACAGCCGACAGGTTTGGTCCTGGTGGGTTCTGGAATATAATCTGGCATCAATGGTTCGGTGTTCTTCCTTGGCTTTGCCTTTGCAAACTGTCAAACAACTGTAAGGAATACTACAAGTACAGACCATCAGATGATTGTTCTGACTACGACCCACCTCGACCAGCTGGGGGCACCGGGGATCCCCATTTGACAAGTCTGGATGGCTACAAGTTCACCTTCAACGGAGCCGGAGAATTTCTGATGGCGTCATCTGCAGTACATAACTTAACCTTCCAAGCCCGTATGGAGCGGTACCGCAACACCAACGCATCTGTGTACACGGCATTCGTTCTTCAAACCAATGATTCCTCCAAAGTCCAGGTGCAGATGTCTAACATGAACGAGACACTGATTCTTGTAGACGCTGAGCCGTTGCGTCTTGACTCGATACCTGTCAAAGTCCAACGCCTCCGAGGGGTTCAAATCCGCTTCAACTCTGTCTTGACATAAATCAACATGGCATTCAGTGCTGGCATCGCCGTTACTGTGAACATTGATACAGATGTGATGTCTTTCATCGCTGAACTAGGCGCTAAGTTCCAGGGTCAGGTTCAAGGGCTTCTTGGAAACTTAAACGGAAACCCAGATGACGATCTTCAGTTCCCAAACGGAACCATTTTGGAGCCGGGATCTTCGCTTAGAGAACTTCACGATTTTGGTTTGGAGTGGTTGGTGGCTCAAGAGGACACCATATTCACCTACATTTCCCCATTTGACTACAGCACATACCACTTTCCTGAGTTTTCTCCGACCTTCGAGGTTCCTGATCTCGACGAAGTGAGTCAGGAAATCAAGGACTTGTGTGGCGATTCCATTGAGTGTGTCTTTGATGCGGTAATCACCGGCAGCCTGTCTTTTGCTAACGAGACTCTTGTGCAGGAAAGCACAATAGATGAAGTCCAGAAAGGGTTGGTCAAGATTGTCAGCTGTGGCTATCCGGGTGATGTGGAGAATGGGTCGGTGTCTGGGTCAATATATCTCGTGAATGCCACTGTGGATGTAGCTTGTGATGATGGCTTCACCTTGACAGGGTCTTCCAGATTGACCTGTCTTGAAGATGGTCAGTGGTCGTCTGGTCTCCCTGTTTGTGTTGGCATTGAAGATATAGGTGGAGAGGTGGGGGGGTTATCGTCAGGTATCATAGCTGCGATTGGTCTTGGTTGCTCGCTAGCTGTACTCGTCGCAGTCGGTGGTCTTATCTTCTTTACAATGCAGAGAAAATATTCAAAAAAGGGGCGAGAATAGATCAGAATCGGGTGAAGCTGACCCGTAAACATATCTATAAAACAGTTAGCTCAATCAACTCAGCATAATAAAAGCACAATGAACGGACTTTGCACATTCTTTATATTGACGAAAAGATATGGAACAAAAGCAGAACATTTGCACCACCTCCCCTTGCTTTTCCTATTAAATTTGGGGCGGAACATTTTTGGACCCACTTTTTCAGGAGCAATTTTTTTTTTTTGGCCCCCAAAAATTGTGTTCTGGATCCGGCCTTGTATGGAACATGCAGTTGGTAAAGTGAACATCATGAAGGCCTATTGCAATAGTAAAGCGTTTGTTAGATCCAAACCAATGTCACGATAGACTTACAAAAGGAGCTTCGCGAATAAGACCAATTGCAGTGAAGTACATGTGTATTGATTTCCTGTAGAAAAGAAATAAATACAGCAAACCAAATGTCTTGGATTCAAGACCCAACATGAAAATCACAGGAAATAGTTCCAAGTAAGCCTACACAGTTCTTTTTTTAGTTATCGAGTAGTTGGCCTACCGAATAGTGTTTTAAACTGCTAGAGCATGATCGTAATTGAGTGAGGACCTATAAAACATGGGTGAAAGAACTTTGCAACCCTTAGGATTTAACTTTGGTCACACTTAAGCCCGCTTTAAAACACGATCATGAAAAAAAAAAAATAATAATATTACAGATCAGTTAACTGCTCCTTATGTACATTTCAAGTATTACATTGCATTTTGAAGGTTAAAAGTGATTTTTTTTTCAGAGCGACTGTGTTGATTTGTGTAAAATGTTGCAAATTTTCTTGTAAACTAGTATTTGAATTAAGAAAGATTACAGATCTCAATTAGATATGAGGAATGTATATTTAATCGCCTAGATTAGAATAATACATTATGTGAGTAATGCATTTCACGTACTGTATGCTCTTGTTGTGAAGGCGATTATCCAACATCTATGACTCGTGAACTTTGATATGTCTACCATTTACACACATTGTAGTATCGTGTTAAGTGATCGAGTACAAAGTACATGGTTTTACCGCGCAGTACTTTGTAGCTTCTAAGTAGTTAGTTTTGAATGTGCTTTGTGTTTTTTTTTATTTTTTTTTTTTTAGATTTAAACATATTTTTCAGTAAAATTTTGTTTTTAAATTTGATAATGGCTGACAGACTTTTGATCGAAATTATATAATCTGGTACAATTTCATTCAGTGTTAATTACAGGCAATTTCGATGATTAATAATCTTGTAATTTGTGTTTAAAGAACATTTGAATGTATCGGAATTTGAGTTCCGGCCAAACGGAAAATCGCATCTTTTAACAATTGAACATTTTGAAGATTGAAGTTTTTGTGGAATATGGTAACCCAATTTTTGTTACTTATTCATTCACGCTTTGCTTTCAGCTTTATGTGCTTACAAACAGCTCGATAAAAACAGATAAAAACCCATGGAATAATTGTGCACAATCGTTGTTTGAACCTTACTGAGAATGCAAGGAAAATTGCAATTTCATTCACTCACAGTTAAGAAAACTAAAAAATGATTTGCCCAATGCTTCAACAAAAAGAAGCCCCTTGTTTTTCAGAGCATATAATTGAACACGCTTTCCTCCCAAAGAAACATCACGTCACACTTTTTTTCACAATGAATCTTGAGACAATCTCAAAAAGTATTCTACACCTGGTATTTTGGTCGGTGAGCAATGCTTAACGTTGATTTAATTCAAATGTTCTCTTTGTCGAGGCAAGAAGCTGAATTATGCCGTAGAGGTATTAGGAGCAAAAATCATTTTTCTTTATCAACACGAAAAAGCACACTTGTTTAAATTCAATTATATAGTTCGTCCTTCGAATCTCGAAGATGACAGCAATTACGCTTCAATGGGCAGACTTTCTGCCATTGAATAGACGTTACGCTTAGCTTTACCAAGACCAAAAAAAAATTCACTTGCCAAGACCATCTTTGTAAATAACAGTGGGGAGTCCGTATTGATTACACCTTTTTTTCCCTAGTGTTGATTTCAAACAGTACATGTTGTACATACATTTACATTTTGCACTCCTTTGCTTGCTCAGATTAAAAGCCAATCGTTTGTGTTGTTTTGAAACACATTCCGTGTACCAGTCTAAATGTATTCTTGGTATATTTTAATTGGAAATTAATATGATTTTTACCTGCCCATTTAAGTTGTGTTTTTCGTGTGTCGTAAACTATCAACACTTTATGTAGAAAGTCCTTGCTCTTAATAAGTCATTATACGACAGAGTGGAACGTGGTTTTAATTGTTTATGAGTTTATAAAGATAATAATGTATGATTTTTCTTATGCTTTGCTTGACAACTGCTGTTTTCTAATAAAAAATGAACTTGTGATTGTTATTCAAATTACCACAAGAGTTTGAGTCGTATGTCTGTGGAGAATAACGTATTTTATCTTGGAGTGATAAAATAAATTGTACTCATATTTGAAACTGGGCTTTTAGAACGTTTGCTTCAAACAGGTATTTATATATTATGACATGCACCAGTAATATTGTTATTACAATGAATACATATTTCTACTTTAAAGTATTGGATTTGTAGGCCAAACTGTATTGGATATTGGGTGATAAAATTAATAAGCACGGTGTATCTAACATTGATTTAATTAGATTGTACTCAGATTTGAAATTTGGCATGTTAACGTTTACTACATTTAAAAAAATTAAAACACGATGCAAAAAAAATTCATTTAGCCTACCGCAAAATATATATCTCTGCTTGTAAGTATTCAGCAAAGTAGATTAAAAAACCTCTTAAGTAGTGCGTGAAATATAATTTCATTGGGTAATATTTTCAATAGATTGAGTAACCATAATATTGGTTTAGTTCGATTGTACTCAGAATGTTCACTCACGTAGGCCCCCAGTTGTATTCAAACCTATTCCTATATCGAAACCAATTGTTACACACGGTGAGTAAAATAATGTCCCTTCGGATAATTTTTTTGGTTACCAAATTTTCTCTTCAGCCAACATTTAGTCTAGGTGTTGACCATGGTCAGTACAAATTTCACTGATATTCGTCCATGCATGCAAAGAATACAGGCCTTTCTTTGTGACTACCCAAAAACACGACCAAAACAATGTTTCCAAATAATTTCAATGGGATATTTAACGTTGTTTAATGGTGCAAACAAGAACCTGAACAAGGGGCGCCAAGATCTCTAGATTTTATACCCCTTGACTTTTTTCTAAGAAGGCGAACATACGTGATGTTCAGGGTAAGAAAATGTATTTCATCATTTTGCAAAACATTTATTTAAACATGTGGTCATTGCGAATGTTCCACGTGTGCCATTTTGTTTGTTTTTCGCATGACATTTGAAACGGAAATATTCATAAAAAAATTTAAGCACTCCTTGTGAAAGATGTACTTGCTTCAGAATTGTTAAAAAGCAAATACTTTTTTTTTCACAAGCCTTTGATCAGTAAATAATTGTAGATTGTAAATAATTGATAATTGTACAAGAAACTACTGTGCGCTTTGAAACATGGTGGAAAGCGCATTATAAATGTTGTAAGTTATAGTTATAGTTTTATACTTCAGGATATAACAGATGGCATTGTGAAGTTTTTGTTGTCATAGATGAAGTATGTACCCGGGGAAAAAATGTCAAATGCGACACCTTTTTTGATGAGATTTTTTTTTTTTTTCATATTACATTGGTCTTCATTGATCCAAAATGCCGCTCTTAATGCTGAAATTGTTTTTATTATTCAAATTGTGTGTGTGTGTGAAAAAAAGTGTTTGTCGGAATGCAGTTTTTGAATTTTGTTCTTTTAGTATCATTATTATTAATTTATTCGGCCAAAGAACAAGAATGCAAATATGCAATAGACATAGACTACAATACATACATCGATACCCAATAACTGTAGTCCGTAGACCTGTTACCCCACATCTTGGTGATAGTAAACAAGGAATTATAAAAACACTTATATACGCTACCATCAAACCACAAAACAAATCAAGACATGATACTGAAGCTAAACATTACCCACGAAACCACCTCATTGACAAAACAAAACAAAACAAACATATGGTTACTCATATGTTTATATTAATATTTGTACATGTATTGCTCATTAACTTTTTTTTACAAGATTCATACTGAGAACACCTTGTAGTGTACCCAAACCTCGTTTCTAATTAGGCTTTTATCAAAAGATTTTCGGAAGATGTAGTCCCGAAGATGAAAAATGGTGCTTGGCGTTAACATACAGCCGTGTGGTTGCGAAGGTCTAAGCGTCCCCGTTGTTAAACAATGTTAATCCGATAACGTACTTAGACGCTATAACAGAGCAGTGAAATTCATGCACTTCCCAAAACATAGCTTTTTGAAAGTTGTGTTTCTCAGAAAATATGCTGAGTATGATTGAAATGTTACGGAAGGAGAAATTCTAAACTTCATGTCAGTGAAAACATTTCTACTGCTCGCTGCTCTGCGTTGAACTTTTTCAATTGTTTCTATATAGGTCTGTTTGTGTGGGTCCCATTTGTTGCTGCAGTACTGTAATTTGGGTCGAACAAGTGTTTTGTAGGCAGTGGCTTTGGTATTTTCGTCACCGCTTCTCAAGTTTCTTGGCCGCGCATATGCGCCCGGCTGTCGTTGTGGCAATGGAATGACGTTACGATTTTCTAAAGTCGACTCCGATTGGCTGGGCCGGGGCGGCCGTCATATATCGATTTGTATAGAACATATCAGACGTTATACAAGAGACTTGCTCTGTGGATAACAGTTGATACTCAGACTAGACATTGCAGGGCAGTGCAATAGCTCATTAGACGCTCAAGTTTTGTTTGTTTAGAGCGTGAGCAAAGTGCAAAACGTTGATTTTACGAAGTAAACAATGCAGCTGATAACATGCCATCGATTTCCAACGACTTAATGTCACTATAATGGTTAACCTAAAACAGAGGACGTCCTGCCAGCGGTTCAATGCCGTCAAGGTCATAGTTTATCATACAACTTGGAGTGAAGTAAACAATTCTTATCAAACACTTAACCCTCCCCGATAATATAGACCTTATGATCTACGAGAATTTTCAGAAAACATTGAGCAAATCTAGCAATCTGCCCACGATAATTAATCACGAGATCAAAATCCATGGACTTTCAAAGAGAACTAGCCACGAAGCTTGTATAGCAGGATTGAAAACTACATAGGAATACACTCAGTACAGTAACACAGATCTTGGGCAGGGAGTTTTTTTGTGTCGACAGGCCGCCTGCGCTTTACCAAGGAAACGAGGAGACAATCGAAAGGTAACTGATTTTTTTGTTTCACTCGTGCCCCTAAAATTCGTCTGTTTCACGAATTTAACATGTATCATACTCAAGGGCGTCGTTAGGGATTTTTAGAGGGCGGCAAAGTACACTGTTCCCCCAAAATCCGTGTGCTTTAACTAGTAATACATTAATTTACCATTTCGTCCAGGGTGGACGGGGGCGGCGATTTTATTTTTGCCAAACGAGATCGGACAATATCAAACGAGGGCGCTCTCACTGCGTTATGCATATTCATGATGTCCAGGGCTTTAGAGAACAAGTTATATAACAAGCAATAATGGTGTTTAAATCTCCGCTAATTGGCAGCTGATACGTGGACTAGTTGACAGTGGTCCTGACATCTAATCAGGTGATCCGAGTTCGAATCTCAGTGAGCGTTTTTCACTTCTTCTCATTTTACCTTTGAAATAACTAAAGTGAGGGAAGGAACATTTCTCACAAGACGTAAAGCCTATCTTGGGTTTGTGTTGTGGAGAACAAGGCATTAGATATGCATGTAATGGACCAATCAGAAGATGGGAAACGGATGTCGTTTGGGAAAAAAAGATTCGCGGGCGGGAGGATATTTGCCCACCCTATTCACATAGACACCCCTGTGGACGCCCATTTTATTAAATTAATAGCAATATGACTTCACACCTCTTTTTCTTTTCTTTTCTTTGCCCTTTCCCCCTCCTTTTTGTGTTTTGGTTTTTGTTAGTTTTTCCAGGTGGGAGGGACGCCCTTTGTGCCCCCCCCCCCAACGAGACTCTCATGATCAAACTTGCCTAATTTTGCGTTCATACTCTTTGGTTCTATAGGATCAAGCCTTTTATGCATCTGAAACAGGATCGAGCAGTTGGTTCTCTAGACGAATCATTTTGTTTGCGGCTAAAAACGTCATCCGTTGCCCAGGTGAGAATGAAATATAATGTCGAGCGCTGTCCCCCACTCTTGGTGGAAGGTTTGTATTTCACTCCATCGTTATTGAAATCGTAAAAAAAATAAAGCAGTTAATGAATTCAATGATGTTAAGCATTGACTGACTGTCTGGTTGATCGAGTACCCGGGTAATTAAAAAACGTTTACCATTCGATTTTACCGTTTCTAATATTCAAATTCGTCAACGTCGATTATGTGCACTTCCAATGTTTGATTTTGTCTTTTGTCAGACAATTTCAAATTCAGTTCAAGGACATTCAAACAACGAGCACACGATTTCGTCCCGAAGTATTCGATTTCGTCTCGTCTATCTACGCCAACCTTTATTCTGAAATCAAATTCGTCCAATGCCGCACAATTGAATCCACATTTTGGGCAATTCCTTCGCACTACATTGTGACACATTCGGTACAAAAATATGAGACGCTCATAAAAATAGTTTCAGTCCTTGCTTCCCCCTTGTTTTATAAATTTGTTGAATATATCTGTAATCTTACCAAATTTTAAGATTCAATATTTTAGACGCATTATGCACGGGAATTAAAGGGTTATCGATCGTGTTTATTGACATTTTACGTTTTTTCATGTTAACATTTTTTGTTTTCGTTTGTGTAAGTTTACTTTGTTTTCTTTGTTGATTATGTCAATCTGTACACTTTTTTTCTGGTAATTGTACTTTGAGTCAAGTACCAGTGGCATATGGGGGGGGGGACGGAACACCTATGATGACTTCATAAAACAAATGCATTTTTAAGACGGTTTTAAGACGATTTAGGCTTCGTCTGCCCCCTGGCACCAAAAACTTGATACGCTGCTGTTCAGTGCTCCAATTGGACCAAACGAATGTGCCAACTTGTACTGGGAGACAACGGAAAATGCTTAGGCGCACACCAAACTAATTTACTAAACACACGTTTTATATAGATTAACATAAAACGAATTCGATCCATGTATGCTGCCATTCAGCAACAGCTGATATTCTCGACCCGGTGACTAAAGAGGATGACAAAAGTTTGACATTAAGTGGTTTTGGTAAAAGCGTGTGAAATTTTATTGGACGAAATCGAATGTTAGATAGAGTTGGTAAATTTGAATGAATTTCGTTTTTTTTAATGGCTGGGAAAACATAGGCTTAAAAAATAATTCTCCACTTTTTTTCTTTTCTTGCTTCTTCATAAATTTATCTTTTTAAAGTATTTTACACTCAATAATTATGTTTGGCACATTACATTAGGGTTTAAGGGTTATCGATTCGTGGTTTTCGTTTCCTTCTTTCATTTAAGACAGGATTTTTTTCGTTTGTTTATTTAAAAAAAGTTTTGCTTTACACTTTTTTGGGTGAATGTTCTATGAGTTCAGTACTCAATACTTGGTCCAATAAAACATGTGAGAGAAATTGTGCCAAATTGTGCTTATTTACACAAGGAAAATGCTCAAGTCACGCACCAGACTAATTTAACATGAGCTATAAATAGATATAAGACGAATTCCATCTCTGAATGCTGCAATTCAACAACAGCCTAGACGACTATGATTTGTAATGACGAATATCGTCCTCAGATCATTGCGAAGGAGGACGGTTCAACAATGATATTAACAAGATGCAAGGTCAAACGTTCACAATGCGAAGGTACATGGTTCATATTGCGAAGAAGCAAGGTGCAACGTTGACATCAAGCATGATCAATGGTGTCCATTGACAAGATCGAACGTGAACATTAACAAGTTGGAACATTCACATTAAGAAGGAACAACTTCCACAATGCGATATTAAGCTACGTGCAACGTGCATATTGCGAAGGTACAACGTCAATATTAAGAAGTTACAAGGTTCATATTAAAAAGATCAATATTAAAATGTCGTTCCAGGGCCACCGGCGTATTACGCAGCTCTAGGTATAAAACTTAAAGTCTTGAATCTTCGATCCTGAGGCCTAAAGCACGAGGTCCTAGCTCCCCATAAATGACCCCTGAATCATGGCGCCGAAATCCTGAGGCTTTATCTCACTGCTGGTTACAGTTTAACTGTATTCAGTGAACGTAACAACGAAGGAAGTAATTAGACCCCTTTGTCCTGCGATGAATCGGTTGGTAGGTCGGTAAATGTATTCAAAGCAAATGTAATTTGTACGCCTTGCGTGATTAAATATGCGATGGGAATGACTTTGTTATGCAGCGCCGCTTGACCCACCAGTAAGTACAAAATTCAAGTGTTAAACAAAGTCTCACAGTTTTGCTAGACACGAAGGGACAGCCCACTTTTCTCTCAGTACCTGACTTACTGACTTACTTCAAACTGAACCTTAACCACCCAGCTCTACGTATAAAACCTAAAGTCCTGAACCTCCCATCCTTACGCCTAAAGCCAGAGGTCTTGACTAAACCCTGAATTATGTAGCCGAAATCCTGAGGCTTTATCTCCCTGCCGGTTAAAGTTGAGTTGTTTTCAGTGAACGTTAGACCCCTTTGTCCTGTTAGGCAATTATTTACACGCGGTGTCACTTGAAAATCAGTTGCAGATCAACTGCCGTAGAATCAGGATGCGACAAAATAAGCCCCATGCTAAGTGATTGTTTTGGACTGTCCCAATTACAAACATTGCCCAAATGAAGCTGTCTATCTGAGACGGACCAGCTGACCAGTTTTCGGGTTTAACTCGTATTGGCAAGCCAGGCTTGTTAATCCATTATGGTTCTGAACATATACCAAACAAAACTCAAAATCATAATACATGTACATGTGATTTTGAAAATCATTTCATTCCACATTCTAATATGTGTTAGAGTTAAAAAAAAATCGTGTTAATTGTATTTTGTGTAGGATAATTGTTCTGTTTTGTATTTTTAGCATGAAGCATCTACTCAAGAGACATCATTTCTGGCTGGTCATCTTATTGACACTTGCATTTCCTGAACTGTCTGCATCGGCTCTTGATCTTGAGTTACCTGATAACAATCAGCCTCGGTGCGTTGGGATATCAAGAGGTAAACACTTTTTTCTTGGATTTATTGATAATTACGACGACAAAAACCTCGCATCCAGGGAGCTGTTTATTTTGGTGGTGGCATTCAGTAATCAGCAAACCACAGTCACCATCAGCAGCAAGCACAAAATAACAGGGAAACCATTCCAGGAAACCTTTGTGATCGATGCAGGTGGATTCATACGGACCAACATACCGGTCGAACTTGTGATGGAAAACACTGAGAGGAGCCAAAAGGTGCTGGAAATTTCAGCAAGCTCTGATGTTTCTGCTTACGGTCTAATGTATCAAGATTACACCACTGACGGTTTTCTCGGCATACCAACAAATAATCTCGGCACGCAATACGTGGTGACGACGTCAAGACCATCGGGTGATCAACGATCGCAGTTTGCTGTACTTGGGACAGAGGATTCCACTTTGGTCCAGGTTATATTACGAGGAGCTGTTATCTTCGAAGGGCAACGCTACAGTCCAGGTGATGTGCTGAGATTCACTGTTAATAACTTAGAAGCCGTTCAAATCCAAGGTCGGAGGTCGGAAGATTTAACGGGAAGTATCATTCAGAGTGACAAACCAGTTGCTGTGTTCAGTGGCAATGAATGCACAAACCACGCTGGTTCATATTGTGACATGGTGACTGAGCAATTGATACCCGTAAAGAGCTGGGGACAGAGACACATCTACACCGCGGCCCGAAGTGACGATGACAACATCTACCGCATTGTTGCTTATTTCAGCGAAACCAATCTTACCATCCCCGGCTTTGAACACCAGTCGTTGGAACCGGGTGAATTTTGGGAAGGGCGTCTGTCGGGTTCCGGCCTCGTTACGTCAAGCAAACCCGCTCTGATGATGCAGCATTTGGCGTCCATCAATGGTATCACAGTCGACCCCTCCATCATTCAGGTTCCTGCAGAAGAACACTTTGGTTTTGTGTTTGGATTCACGACCCCACCTCATTCTGGAGGTGATTCTGGTGGTTACTTCAATTTCATCAATATCATTGTGAAAAATGATTCTCGGGAAACCATCTTTCTTAACGGTTCCCCAATCAACGACACAAATGTACACGAAAGCGATGTTCCTTACACTAGTTACATTTCACTTACTGTTCAACTACCTAAAGGCGAAGGTGTCTACTACGTTGAACAAACATATCCTTATTCATCACCCCTCTCCGTCATTGTCTACGGGTATGAAGACGACGAATCCTATGGCTACGCCGCTGGTCTGTCTCTCCCCGCCAATAAACAAGTGCTGAGTTTGACTCCTTACTATTTGCGAGAACTTGGTGGCGAGCTTTTTACGGTAACTGTTCCCTGTTTGCAGACAAACTTGGCATCTTTTCAAGATGCCAAGTGCAAATTTGCCACTAGCCTCGGAGATGTCCTGGTTCCTGGTGAACGCACCGACTCTTATACTGTTATTTGTATCACCCCAACCTTGTACAAGAACGGACTTACATCTGTCTATGTTTCACTTGACGATGGTGAATCATTTCCGTACTCTGGCATTGTCTACGTTGCATCTGAAGAGGACCTTGCACCACTAGTTCAAATCCAACAGATGAAATCCGAATATGGCAATGACATCGTTGACTTAACCTTAGATGACCCAATTATCATATCTTGGGATCCCAAAAGTATTGGTGAAGGCGTTTCACATGTGACTGTTATGACGCAAGAAACAGATTACGACAGCGAAGGGAATCCAGTCTTGATGGAAAGTGTTACAGTGAAAAACAATGTCTTGAACAACGGCAGGCTGACGATACATGCAAGCGACCTGGAATCACTCACCGGTGACGATTTGTCACTTCAAGCATTATATCTCACTCCATCTGCCGTGCAAAAGCGAGCTATACCAATCGTGATTGTATGGGCTATAAGAATCTATACAGTTTATAAAATTGTGAAACGCACCTGCACAATTTCCAAGTATCACTTCAAAACCACTGTTCCCACTGGACTTCCTGCATGTCCTTGCAACACAGCACAAGCTCGACAAGACCTGAATATACAAGAGGATAATTTTGCGATTTCCTTCTTTCATCCGGGTGCTGAGAACTGTTACCGGTCTGTTAATTCATTGCCGAATGGAGCAGGCCAACAGTGTTGTTACGGAAAAGACGGTAACATCCTAGTAGGCCCTCCTGGAGGAGGAACAGCCGACAGATATGGTCCAGGTGGGTCCTGGAATATAATCTGGCACCAGTGGTTCGATGTTCTTCCTTGGCTTTGCCTATGCAAACTGTCAAACAACTGTAAGGAATACTACAAGTACAGACCATCAGATGATTGTTCTGACTACGACCCACCTCGACCAGCTGGGGGCACTGGGGATCCCCATCTGACAAGTCTGGATGGCTTAAAGTTCACATTTAACGGAGCCGGGGAATTCCTGATGGCGTCATCTGCAGTACATAACTTAACCTTTCAAGCCCGTATGGAGAGGTACCGCAACACCAACGCCTCTGTGTACACGGCATTCGTTCTTCATACCAACGATTCCTCCCAAGTCCAGGTACAGATGTCTACCATGAACGAGACACTGATTCTTGTAGATGGTGAGCCGTTGCGTCTTGACTCGATTCCTGTCAAAGTCCATCGCCTCCGAGGGGTTCAAATCCGCTTCAACTCTGTCTTGACCAAAATCAACATAGCATTCAGTGCTGGCATCGCTGTTACCGTGTACATTGATACAGATCTAGAGGTGATGTCTTTCATCGCTGAACTAGGCGCTAAGTTCGAGGGTCAGGTTCAAGGGCTTCTTGGAAACCTAAACGGAAACCCAGATGACGACCTTCAGTTCCCAAACGGAACCATTATGCAGCCAGGTTCTTCGCTGAAAGAACTTCACGAGTATGGTTTGGAGTGGTTGGTGGCTAAGGAAGACTCTTTATTCACCTATATTTCCCCATTTGACTACAGCACATACCACCTTCCTGAGTTTTCTCCGACCTTCGAGGTTCCTCATCTGAACCAAGTGAGTCAGGATATCAAGGACCTGTGTGTCGACTCCATTGAGTGTGTCTTCGATGCGGTGATCACCGGCAGCCTGTCTTTTGCTAACGAGACTCTGGTGGTGGAAAGCACAATAAGTGAAGTCCAGAAAGGGTTGGTCAAGATTGTTAGTTGTGGCTACCCGGGTGATGTGGAGAAGGGAATGCTGTCTGGGTCTCTGTATCTCGTGAACGCCACTGTGGATGTGGTTTGTGATGATGGCCTCGCCGTGAAAGGGTCCTCCACATTGACCTGTCTTGAGGATGGTCAGTGGTCGTCTGATCTCCCTGTTTGTGTTGTCAACTGTGGCTACCCAGGTGATGTTGAGAACGGGATGCTGTCAGGGTCTGTGTACCTCGTGAACGCCACTGTGGATGTGGCTTGTGATGATGGCTTTTCCTTGAAAGGGTCTTCCAACCTGACTTGTCTTCAAGATGGTGAGTGGTCGTCTGAACTCCCTATTTGTGTTGTCAACTGTGGCTACCCGGGTGATGTGGAGAACGGAATGCTGTCAGGGTCGGTGTATCTCGTGAACGCCACTGTGGATGTTGCTTGTGATGATGGCTTTTTCTTGAAAGGGTCTTCTAACCTAACTTGTCTTCAGGATGGTCAATGGTCGTCTGAACTCCCTATTTGTGTTGTCAACTGTGGTTACCCAGGTGATGTGGAAAACGGGTTGCTGTCAGGATCTGTGTATCTCGTGAACGCCACTGTGGATGTGGCTTGTGATGCTGGCTTTTCCTTGAAAGGGTCTTCTAACCTGACTTGTCTTCAGGATGGTCAATGGTCGTCTGAACTCCCTATTTGTGTTGTCAACTGTGGCTACCCGGGTGATGTGGAGAACGGGATGCTGTCAGGATCAGTGTATCTCGTGAACGCCACTGTGGGTGTTGCTTGCGATGATGGCTTTTCCTTGAAAGGGTCTTCTAACCTGACTTGTCTTCAGGATGGTAAGTGGTCGTCTGACCTCCCTATTTGTGTTGTCAACTGTGGCTACCCGGGTGATGTGGAAAACGGGTTGCTGTCAGGGTCTGTGTATCTCGTGAACGCCACTGTGGATGTGGCTTGTGATGCTGGCTTTTCTTTGAAAGGGTCTTCTAACCTTACTTGTCTTCAGGATGGTCAGTGGTCGTCTGACCTCCCTATTTGTGTTGACGTAGAAGATGTAGAGAAGACAGGGCTACATCCGGGCATCATAGCTGCGATTGCTGTTGGTGGTGTACTAGCTATACTTGTAGTCGTCTTTTCGATCCGGTACGTGTTGCATAAAGGCAAGGTCGGGCCGGAATAACAATGTAGAGGGATTATAAAATGAGCCATTCAAATGTATTCGTAGTAGTAACTGTCATGCAATTGGTTCTCGTTCAATGTAGTATCTTTCATTAATTTTAAGGTTGACCGTGTTGGATGCCATGTTTGCACTTTGCTCGTTCCCATTGCCTTATCCAAGGGGCATTGGTAATTTTCTTTCGGTTCTCATTGGACGGATTTTGTTTAACCAGTGACCCAGGTTCAACACTTCCGTGTGAGCATAACGTGCATTTATCAAAGTGATCTACCCCAAATTAATGCTTTGTGACCTTGTGCATTTCCTTTACAATAATTAGTAATAAGCGGACACCAGTGCCCTTCAATTCTATAGGACGGGGAGACGAGTGAATGTTTGCATATGCTATTCCTCCATGAAAATATACAGAACGTGCAATTGGTGAATAGCCATGAGTTAATGAAGGCATATTACAACAGTAACCAGATTGTTAAAAGTCAAACCAAAATTCTCCTTGCACTTTATACGTCACATCTGATGCAGGTCTGTGTTCCACTAAGTTATGCAAGAGCAGAAACCTGTTTTTTGGTATTGTCACGCATTGAATTTAAATAACAAATTTAAAACTGCTCTCATTAAGTGGTCTTTAAAGAGGTTGTGGAATGCTCGAAGACATTTCCGTCATCTTTCGGGTATATGTAGCCTAAGATGTAATGAAATAAAAACGACTATTGTTTCTGTCATAAAATGAGTACAAAAGGTACTTTTGAGAGCTGTTTTTCAAGTCCTGTCATGCCTGTTTCGACCAGAACGTGCAATTTGTGTAAAAGTCGTCGTTGCGGGCAGCAAACAAAACACAGTAAATCGTGACGTAATAAACAGGATTCCCGATGCAGAGTAGCATATACGAGTCCTGTTTATTACGTCACGATTTACTGTGTTTTGTTTGCTGCCCGCAACGACAACGTTTACACAAATTGCACGTTCGGGTCGAAACAGGACCTGAAAAATAGCTCTCAAAAGTACTTTTTGTACTCAGTTCATGGCAGAAACAATAGTCGTTTTGATTTCATCACACCTTAGGCTACATATACCCAAAAAATGACGGAAATGTTTTCGAGCATTCCACAACCATTTTAATGATAGGCTTATACAAGAAGCGTATAGTACATGAGATCAATTTTTAATGAAGCAATTGCATTCCTGCCTACATATCAGTGTTGTAGTGGAGACCCTGCAAGACCAAAACAAGACCTCCAGTCTCAGTCCAAGTCACAAGCTATTCAAATGAACTACAACAAAGGCATTCCTGTCTGGTCTTGTGATGCTCTCGACTACAACACTGCCACATATCAGAAAAGAAACAGAATGCAGAAAGCCAAACCTTTTTAACCGAAGACCTAATATGTAAGTTAGCAGAAATACTGTAAGCCTACAGTGTGTTTCTTTTAATAGTGTCATGGACCAGTTGGCCTCATGAATTCATAGTTTAAAAATGTCAGAGCATGATCATGATTAAATGAGAATCTACAATACATGGCTCAGAAGATTTTGAACCTTAGAATTAGACTTAATTGCAACAGTTTTAATTGCAAACCCCACAACACATTCATTTATACATATATTTCTTTTTTTCTTTATAAAAAAAAGAATAGAGTATCGATACATTTAATTAGATATAAAAGTATTTTCGCAGCTCAATTAACAGCTACTTTTTGCAAATTTCAGTTACATTATATTGCATTGCAATTGGAGGGTTAAAAGTATTTTGTTCATATTGTGCAACTAAAAGGATTGTAGTGATTTGTGTAAAATGATGTATTCTTCACACTTGTTCAAACACTTCATGTGTTGCATTAATATTCACTTCTAAACAGTTTGCTCTAACAGTATTGTTGCCGACAAGTTTGTTTTATAACTAAGAAATGTACATGATCTCAAGTATGTTAATAATACCAAAACTCTTTTGCCAAGAGAATTTTATTTCAACCGTTCAGATGAGGATAGTAATTGTCAGTCATGGATTTCACGTAGACTCTTGTTGTGAAGGCGACTATCGAGTAAAATATTGGACTCGTGAACTTTGATATGTGTATGTTACGCTGAAGTATCATATTAGATAAGTACAAAGTACATAGTTTTACCGCGCAGTAGTTTAGAAGCTTCTGAGTAGTTATTTTTTTGGATTTCACATCATTACACGCCAACATTCCTTGCTCAATATTTACTCAAATTTGATACCTGACAGACTTTTGACTAAATTATATAATCCTGTATATCGTTTAATTAGTATTAATTACAGGCTACTTCAAGGAGTGATATTCTTGTAATTGTTTTAAAGATATTCTTGTAATTGTTTTAAAGATTTTTGAGATCCAGCCAAACGGAAAATCGAATCTATAACAACGAATATTTAGAAGATTTTTATTTAGAAGTGTTTTTGGAATGTGATAAACAAATCTTTTATTGACCTATTCATTAATGCTTTGCTTTCAACTATTACTTGCTTACAGAAAATACTCAGAAAAAAAATGGAAATCCAATGGAATATTTGTGTTTAATCGTTGCATGAACGTTTACTGAGAATGCAAAGCAACTTTATAGAATTTCAATTTTATTTACTCAAAAACAAAATGCCCCTTGGTCCGGGTTGCCAGAGCATATATTTTCATACGCTTTCCTCCCAAAGAAATGCCACGTCACAATTTTGTTTTTCAATGAGTCGCGAAATGAAAATATTCATCACTATTTTACAAGGCAATGTACTGAATTCCACCGTTTTTTTCACTAAACTTGCTACAATGACAGTAAAGCATGAGGGTCCCAAATTATGGCATTCACTGGATACGTCATTAAAAATATTTGCAGTCAATCATTATTCAAACATAAATATAAGGCTCACTTGCTGAACATTACTTACAATCACTTAAAAATTAATAATGTATAACGGTTTTCCTCGTCATGTTACTCGCCATGTTCATGTTCCCTTGTAAATTGTCTGGTGTATCTGTATGTGGTTTGTGTACGTGTGTAATGTAATTGTTGTAACTCACATTAAATAAACTAATTAATTTAATTGATTACTAATGATGGGTCACTACTCAACAAGCCTTGCTTTTTAGAGACCCCCATCCACATTATTGTGATCTTATGATTTTCTTGGCATATTGTTCTGTATTGTGATGTGGTAAATAGAGTAAGATTCATTGTTTAATTGATTGATTGAAACAGTCTCAAAAAGACACTTGGTATTTTGCTCAGCAAGCTACTTGCTTAACGTGAACTTAATCTTAATGAACTCTTTGTCGAGGTAAGACGCCAAATTGTACCGAAGAGGTATTACGAGTAAAAATCTTTTTTTTTAACACGAAAAAGTCCATTGGAAGACTTTCCTGCCGTTTTATTATATAGAAATTTCGCTTAGACTTACCAATACCAAGAGTCTAGTTGACTGGCAGAGATCATCAATGGTGAATAATAACGAGGAATCCGTATCGGGTACATTATTTTCCTTTTTGTGCTGTCAAGCAATAGGCCGCGAAGTGTATGCGGAGGTTAAATAGGTAGAACGGTTAGCATATACACGAATCTTGTTAACAACTTACACTGTCTACATGTTGTACTAAAATGTTGCACACTAAGATTATTAACTGGTCACTCAAATTATTAATTTTTTTTGGAGCAAGTTCATTTTATAAGTCTAAATGTGTTCTTCAAATTAAAAAAACGCGAGGAATATGTATTTTTTTTTACATTGGAAATTAAATAAAATTAGCTACAAAACCAAGGAATTGCCCATTTACAGTAGTGTGCACCGTTTGCGTGAAATTTGTCTTACAACACTGTATGCAAATTATAATTCTTATGTAAAATTTCTTGTTTTTACTCAGCTTATTACGACAAACTGATCGTGGTTTAAACTTTTAATTAGTTTTATGTTTATCGATGTCTGATTTTTTTTATCCTTTGATTTACGGAAGCTTTGACAACTGCTGTTGAGAAAGTTAACCCTAGGATTTTCATTCAAGTTACAATGGCGAAAGTGTTAAATTGACTTCGGGGTTTTATGACAAGAAAAAAAACAATCTTTTTTTTTTACAGTTGCGATTGAGTGTTTTGAAGTTCGTAAAAAATGAAGTTTTAAAATCGAACCATTGTAGTTATTCATTCGAAGACTGTAGCTTAGGTTGAATTAGTCTTGGTCCAAGACTGGATTGATATAATGTTCGTTTACATATCCGCTCTGTTCACAAACACCCCCTCACCGGCAAAGGAAGTACAGTTGGGGGTGACCGACCGATGCCATCTTGGCTGACTGCAATTCATTTGCCGCGAAGCGCGGCCACTGCGTGTAAATAGTACAAATCCCCTGGTGTACGTGCGTCACACACAAGGAACGGTGCGCGTCCACCGGCGAAATGTCCCACCCATTGTTAGGTAAAAGGGCGCCCTCTTTTTGTAGCGCACGGAGCTCGTAGGTCGTATATGGTGCGCTATGCAGCCGAACGACATCAACAGTAGAGGGCGCTATCGACGAAACGAATTCGTCTCATCGATAGCGCCCTCTACCATTGATGTCGTTCGGCTGCATAGAGCGCAATATGCTGTATAATCGGATGTCCATGCATGCACCTTAACTGTCACACAAACGCATGATCATGTTATAAATTTCGGGTCCAATGTGTTACATTGTTCCTGTTCCTGATAACTCGGAACTTTTTAACCTTTTAGTATCATTATAAACATGAGCTCAAACTATTCTCAACTGTTGGTTAGGTAGTTGGCTTGACAAACACTTTTTGGGTAAAGGGCATTAAGGGGTTCATCCAGCATTAACAAAATCGTACACGGATGCAACAGGGACAAGAGAAACGAAAATTATAGGATCCAAAAATTTTAGAATATGATCCATGTTAGAGTGCCTTTCGCTTGGCGTATAGAGCTTCGGTAACGAAGAAGGGAATAGAAAGCAACGTCACTCCAGCAAACACGCAGAGAACTATACTGAAACCTCCCGTCCACTC